CTGAGCCTCAGTCACCTTAATAAACACATGGTGGGCCTCCTAGCTCACAGGGCTGGAGCAAAGCTCAAATGGCATCACTTACTCATTCATAAAGTTACTGAGTACCCACAGAGCGCCAGGCACAGATCCAAGCTCCAGATAAATGGGAAAAAGGCTCCTGGACACAGCATGTGGCCAAATAGGAAGCTTCGTTGTCTGCATGTGAAAACAAAGAGACAGTGCCCTAATAAAATCCACGGGAGCTGCAGACCTCGCAACCCAGTGTAGGCTGTGTGCGTCACAGGGCAGGAGGGCGGACAGACGCAGTTCTCACACCTGCTGTTTCCCGTGCCTTCTAAGCCTGCCTTCCCCACCTTAGGATCCATAAGCCAAGGATGGGCTCCAAGTCCCACCTTCACCAAACTGTCTATCTTGGTGCACAGATACACTTAGCTCACAGGGAAGCGAAAACAAAAACCTCACCCTGCCCTCCATCAAGATATAGGGCCACGGGAACCAGCAGTTAGCATAATAGCTATGTCGCAGGACTCCCACGTAGTCGACCGCGGTTCGCGTCCCGGACCCGGTGGCTTAAAACTCACGCCGGGCGCGTGTACGTGCGTGCCCAAGATCCCGAGAGGAGAATGGAGGAGAAGGGATTGCGGAGTGACCATCCCCCCTGGGGGGTGATTTCTCGCTTTCTGTCTCTATGTCTCTGTCTGTCTGGCAAGCGCACGCGCCCTATAGCAAAAATTTCTCAAAAAAAAAAAAAAAAAGATATAGGGTCACCGACTTGAAAATCTTCAAATCCAAATAAGTGAAAGCAATACAGTAGAACACCACCCCACTGTTCTTTGAAGTGATAAACAGATATACTGCATTGGTGCCTGAAAAAGTTGGATGCATTTTGCAAGGAAAGAGAAAGGAAGATTTAACACATGTACACACACACACAATCACCAGTGTGCTAAATTCCTGCATGGGGTAGCAAACGCTTAACTTACTCGGAGCCTGAGCCCAAGAGCAGACTCAGTCCTTCCTGGCACATGGTCCTACAGTGCCCTCAGATTAACGATATCACACAAGTAATTTGTACCAAGCAAACCAAGATGTATATATGACTGTTGGTGACATGGGCTGGAAAACAGAGGCAAACAGAATGAAAGAATTTTAAGTTTGTGGGGCAGGTTAAATGATTTAATTGTTCAATACCAAAAATTTTTTTTTAATTTATAATTGCTTAGTCTTAGCAGAAAAAAGGAAAGCCAAATT